GCTTCACTGAGGATCATTTTCTACGATGTCCATGTTCTTGAAAAGTTCTTTTTTCTTTTTCCCTCTCTTACCTAATAGTATTAATTCTGGCTCTTTAGTTCTTTTGTGCTGTTTTGCTTCACTGAGGATCATTTTCTACAATGAACCTTCACTGTTAACTGTAACTACCATATGAATTACTTTATTATGCTTATGAGTGCATGTAGTTTAATCCCACAGTTGTAGTATTTTCTGAGAAAAATCATTTCCTTTTGATTTTCCTTCAATCTCCCAAGAGATTTTCTTATATGAGAAAGTATACTTTTGTTCGCTTTAATTTGACCCTCTCCATGGCATAGACCCATGTCCCCGCCTGTCATATTACACTATTGTCTGCACTCTCCTCATTCAGTCCTCATCATTATTTATATATTAAACAAACAAGTCAATAACATAAGATTATATTGTTAACAAATTGGCAAAATAAGTATGAATTTCATTAATTTGCAGATGGAAAACCAGAATTGTAAAGATAGGATATCATCCTCATCGACATCAATCGCCAACCTCTTCTATCAGATTTCGGCCTACATGCACCTCCTCCTCAACTCGACATCATCAGCCCAAGAAATGCTCGAGGCCTCAGCAGCTCAGGGACACAAAGCCTCCGAGCTTATCAAGATGAAGGATGTCAGTAAAGAAACCGATATCTATATATAGCCTTGGAGTTATCTTTCTCGAAATTTTAACTAGAAAGGAAGCTACAAGTCTTCACCTCCCTGCCTCACTGAAGAACTTGTTTCTTGAGCGTAAAGTACCGGAGACGCTGAGTAGGGATAAGAGCTCTACGATTGAAGAAGGTTTGATCAAGTTATATCAGAATGTTTAGCAATTGTGTTGATAAGCAATCTGATTGTGTTCATATTTGTATTTATATATATGACAGACCAAGTGCAATGGCTAACAATCGGGACAATTATTTGGTGCAATGGCTAAGCAAGTGGATAGGCAAATGAAAAGTAGGGGAGAGAAAAGGCAAAATTTGCCTACCGGTTAAATTTCACCAAGGGCCCCGCGTGTCAGCAAGTGGAGGAAAGATAAAGTGGAAAACTTTTGAAAAACTAGTTGTTGTGGAGTTGAAAGGCAATTGGAAAAGACAAGTGATGTGGAGGGAGAATAAAGTGAGGTGGAAGGAGAGAGAAAGGCAATATTTGCCTTGCCAGATGGTCCTGTGTGCATAAAGATTTGTGCTAGTCCAAGCGTTCTTTTGAGCGAAAGGCCAATGTTGTATTTGACAATCACTCAAATCAAGTTGGGATTTATCCTGAACCTATTTTTGGAAAAAGCTCTGTTTGATGATGAAAAAAGGTCCAGCTTTCCTTATGTCAAAAGATGGTCCTTAACTGGTTCAGACCTGGATCATCCCCAGCCCCATTTATTTGTAATACAGTTGGAATTGCACTGGATCATCCCCAACCCCATTTATTTGTAATACGGTTAGAATTGCATTGAGTTAGGATCAATCATGGTCCAGATTTTGAGCGGTTGAAAAGCTATCGTCTATCTTTTTATATGATTTTATGTAGAGAGCCCTCTTTTAAGGTTATGTTTGTATGATTTTATGTAGAGAGCCCTCTCTTAAGGTTATGTTTGGCAACTCTTACAATACGGACCAAGATCAATCTTAGCTTAGTTTTGCTCTAAACTGTTTTTTTTTTCTCTATAAACCAACCCCCTCTAGTCCGCAAAAGAAATCTGAGCTAATATTAGTCTAGTTTCTCAAACACACTTCTCCTCAAAATGGAACTAGGGTTAATTCTGAATTTTTTTCTTTCAAGGAGTTACTAAATACGCTCTAAGATTATTATTATTAATTTTTTGCTCAAACCAAGGTGAGATTCGTGTAAATCTATAGTGAGCCAACGTGGGGTCGGTTGGGGATCCTTTTGGCTTGTACCACTTTAAGTCCGTAGACAGAGGAAAATGTTGAAAGTAGGACTAGAGCCAGCAACTGGAGCAGCAAAGGATCTTTAATACTTGGGACAAGTTAGCCGTACAGCTCTCTTGACAGTGGTCTTTGAACTCTGATGTCTACAATGAAGAAGAAATTTTCATTTTAAATCCAATCCAATTTTTTTTTAAAACCGACCCATTCTGTTTTTATTTCCAGAAATCGACCAACTTTGTGATCACGTCAGCAACGTGGTCACGAAGCGGGTCGATTTTTTTTAATCTCGTCTCTAAATAGTCGGGGTTGCTAACCCCGACTAATTTTGTTACTGTCAAAATAGTCGGGGTTGGCAACCCCGACTATTTAGAGACGATATTAAAAAAATCGACCCGTTTCGTGGTCACGTTGCTGACGTGACTACAAAGTGGGTCGATTTCTGAAAATAAAAACAGAGTAGGTCGTTTTTTTTAAAAGTCTTAATGGGTTTAAAACAAAAATTTCTTCCTACAAGAACTTGAAAGCAACAAAAGCCTGAAGTCTTGTCCTTTTTTATTGTTCTATGCATCTTCATGATGTATCATGTGACCGGGGCAACTTTTCCTGTTCAATGTGGATTTTAGCTTGTATTCATGTGGCAACAGTAGCTAATACCTATGATTGAATGTAAATAGAAGTTAAAGTTAGTTCTATGGGGCAAAAAACCCCTCAACTATAACTATAAGGCTTGTCTCAGAATATCCCCTTTAGCTATTTTATTTTTAGAAAACCCTCCTCAAATTTGAGCGTGTTATAGATAACCCTCTCAACTTTCAAAATATGACTAAATCCCCCTTAACTATGGGGTGTATCACAAAACTCCCTTTATCTTTCTAGTTTTTTTAAATAATCCCCTTAATATTATTAATTTAAAAATACAATGACTAAAATACCATTGGTTAAAAAAAATTCATGTGAGTTTAAAAACCCCACCCAATCAAAATATTAGACTTCAGTTCGATAGGTTTTGACGAGGAAACTAATCTTCAGAAAAATTAAAAGTTTTAATTATTTTAAACATTACAAGCATGGATAAGTAGAAAATAAAAGAGGTTAAGCTTTCAAAAAAAGAAAAAATATTATATTTGCTCGTAAACCTAGCTATGTAGATGGAGGAATAAGAAGAGGGGGGAAATAAAATAAGAGTTATTTTTAATCAACTAAAGTTAAAAAGGAACAATATGGTAAAATATTTTAATGTCTTAGGGATGATATGGTCATTTTAAAACATTTGCTTCTTTAGATTTAAATTATATTAGTATAAAGGGTTAAGTGAAAAATGCTAAGCGGGATAAATAATATTCTTAAAGTTGAGGGGGTTATCTAAAAAAAATTCATAATTGAAGGGGTTGGGAGGGGAGGGTTCTAGAGTTAAAATATCTAAGGGGTTTTTTTTGAGACGGCCCCAATATTTGGTGGGTGTTTTCTGAAATTAACCCTAGAGTTAATTGCAGATACATGTAGCAACTGATTGTTCATATTAGAGATATGGTCTATTGGTTAGAATGACCACTGGCAAACAAGTGGTAGAATTTTATCATTTTGCCCTCAGTATAAAAAAGAAAAGAAAAGAAAGAAAAAACAGTTGATTCTGGTGGTAAGAAGGATGTTCTTTCTCAAGATGTGTGTGATTGATGGGGAAAAGTAAAAAAGCATCAGTCTTATCCATTACCAAAATAAATTTGTCTTATATGCAATTAAACCAAATTTCACAAGGGTAAAAGAGTAATAAAAAATTCTAAACCAGGGAGTCTATCTGCAATAATGAAACAATTGGGGTAAGTTAGAACTGTGGTATTACAAGGGTCTTTGTGCAATTGACCCTTAAAAGTACGGGGCCCATTTGTATCTTGGTAATGTTTGCATGTTAGAATTCTGAGGATTGAGCTTTGCTACAGGGACCCAAAATATGGGACCAATAAAGGGGACAAGTGAGGTGTCCCCCTCCTATTGGATAATGAGTTGGTCATCATTAATGATGGCCAACTCCATTTATGCGCAATAGGAGGGGGACACCTCACTTGTCCCCTTTATTGGTCCCATATTTTGGGTCCTTAAAGAATTTTTCTTGTAAAAAATGTTCTTTTTGCATCTAATGGAATTATATTGGGCTTGAGCGTGCGTGTGCACCTCTAATGAGAGGAGGGTAATAGCTCATGTTGAGCACTCAAATCTGCCCCCAAGTATTCCCCCCATTTTTTTTACCCCTCATGACTTTTTAAGTAGAAAATGTCTGGTGAGGATAAAAGTATAACCCAGCAGCGTAGAGACAATCACTGTAGTTTGATTAGTCCAAAACTTGGATGCAAATGAAAACAAAAAACCCAATATTTTGATGGAGTTAGCACTTTTTTCTTTTTCTTGTTTTTTCTTTTTTTTTTTTGGGGGGGGGGTGGG